GGTTCAAGACAAGCCTGAGCAAGAGGGACAAGCCTATCTCTACTAAAAAAAAAAAAAAAAAAGAAAAGAAAAATTAGCAGGGTGTTATGGCATGGGCCTATAGTCCCAGTTACTCAGGAAGCTGAAGCAAGAGGATTGCTCAAGTTTGAGGTTGTAGTGAGCTAAGATGATGATTCCACTGCACTATACCAAGGGCAAAATATGAAGACTTTGCCTAAAAAAAGAGAGAGAGAGAGTCTCACTCTGTCACCTGGGCTGGAGTGTGTAGTAGCTCAATCACAGCTCACTGCAGCCTGGAACTCCTAGGTTCAAGCAATCCTCCTGCCCTAGCCTTCTGAGTAGCTGGGGCTATCAGCACCCCCACACCAGGCTAATTTTTTTTTTTTTTTTGAGACTGAGTCTCACTACATTGCCCTCAGTAGAGTGCTATGGCAGCACAGCTCACAGCAACCTCAATCTCTTGGGCTTAAGTGAGTCCTATGCCTCAGCCTCCCAAGTAGCTGGGACTACAGGCACCTGCTACAACGCTTGGCTATTTTATTTTTTTTGTTGCGGGCAGGGTTCAAACCCACCACCCTCCGTGTATGTGGCTGGCGCCATAACTACTGTGCTAAGAGTGCTGAGCCACTGGGCTGATTTTTTATTTATTTTTTTTAATTTTTATTCATTTATTTATTTTGAGACAAAGTCTCACTAGGTAGAGTGCCATGGTATCATAGGTCACAGCAACTCAGACACATGGGTTTGAGCAATCCTCTTGCCTCAGCCTCCCAAATAGCTGGGACTACAGGTACCCGCCACAACACCTGGTTAAATTTTCTATTTTTAATAGAGATGGGGGTCTCATTCTTGCTTAGGCTGGTCTTAAACTTCTGAGCTCAGGCTTGCCACCTGTCTTGGCCTCTCAAGAGTGCTAGGATTGGCTCGGCGCCTGTGGCTCAAGTGGCTAAGGCGCCAGCTACATACACCTAAGGTGGTGGGTTCGAATCCAGCCCAGCCC